CTCACTGTGACTCTCTCTCTCTCTCTCTCTCTCTCTCTCTCTCTCTCTCTCTCTCCCTCTCTCTCTTTTTATTTTTTATTTTTGGTTTTTTGAAACAGGGTCTCACTATGTAGTTAAGACTGACCTGGAACTCACTATATAGCCCAGGCTGGTTTCGAACTCACAGCGATATTCCTGCCTCAGCCTCCTGAGTGCTGGGATTACAGGTGTGTGCCACCATGCCCGGCTGGGACTCTCTCTCTTGAGATAGCTGCCAGTGATCAGAGCAAGGTAGTAAAGAGCAGACTGCAAGTGGGATGGGAGCACTCCTCTGTGCAAAGGAGAAGTGGGTCACTGTTTCTCTTATCTCACCATGTTCTCTCCCCCTTCAGGTGTTTACACTCCAGAACCCCTCAGCAATTTCAGGTGGGCTCTTCTCTCAACTGGCCTCATGTTCCTTTATCACTTCAGCATCCTGCAGATCCTCGGCCTGGTAAGCTGTTGCTCTCCCCTTCTATCCCCTCTTTTGGTGTTCTCCATAAATCTTGATATTCCTGGTTGGTTCTGGTGTATCATTTTCTTTTGAAAATACAAGATGCTAAAGGCTAGGTTGTCAGATTGTTGTGTCTGTGTTGCTGATTTATGATCTACAGCCTTGGCCACTCTAAAGTTTTCTGAATGTTTAGTGATAGCTGTTTTCTTCATCCCTGAGGAGGTAGGACCCAAACCTTGGCCCTGAGCCTGGGGAGGCCTCTGACCTTGGGTCCATTCTGGGCCTTCTCTGAGGTCCTTTTTCAGGCCCTGCCTTGAGCTGTGTGGCCAGTGGTGGAAGTATGGGGTTGGGGAGCCCCCACAGCATTCTGCAGTGCTTAGAACTTCCTGAGCATGAAAAATGGTTGAACTCAGTTGTTGAGCTATTCTAAGCCCAAGTTCACTGATACTGCAAGGGTGTGTATTGGTGGTGATGTGAAGAGGAAGAACTCGGGGCTGAGCATGGGGTTCATAAAACCCAAGCTCAACACCTGATTAAATGCTCTGAGTGAGTCACCTCACCCTTGAGCACAGAGCGTTCTCTACCTCTCTGTGACATGGTCTAAGAGTCTCAACCTCCCTGAGAGGCGATGAGGACTTCTCTTTAATGTGAACAGGCTTGAAGAGCTCCGGAAGGCAGGTGTTGCGGATGTCCTCCAGGCAGGAGTGGTGCGTCTGGTTTTGTGTTGGCAGCATTAAGAGAGCACTAAGCCATACAGAGCCTTGAGTGACCTTCCATGATGAGGATGTGCAACTGATGTCCCAAGCACCTTTGAAAAAAAGTTTACTTTCTCTTCCCCAGCCTGGTGAATGGCTCTGCTGTGGTTTGCCAGGGGTGGTCTGAGTTCTGGGCCAGCAGTGTGAATGCTTCCTGTGCTTGTGAGAGGATGCCTCGTGACCTGCACACCCGTCCTTACCGCTCACTGGTCCTCAGTGATATTCTGGATGCCAGAGGCCTCAGTGTGCTCATGTCACCATACACATCATGCTTGGCTAGGCCTCCTATAAGGAAGGCTCCACTCACCCCACTCCTTGTCATAACTCACCATTCATCTTTCATGAGTCCATGCAGTTGCCCTGTACCTCATGAAGTCTTCTAGGAATCTGAACCAGTATGCTCAGGAGGCACTGTCTAGTTTGAGGTCAGATGCAGTAAACCTGTTGCCCCACTTGATTGATTGTCAGCTAAGGAACAATACTGTTAACTGCTCTTTTATCCCATAATGTCTTTGCAGGGATTACGCATTAAGTAAATACTTAGGAATGATAACAGTTCCCCTGGCCCAACATACACTGAGCAAAACCAGACAGCTACTCCACCGGACAGCTTACTCCATTACTCCCAGAGAGCTTTAACCTCAGTCCACTCCAAACACCCAGGGTAGAGATTCTCCTTATGAACAGGTGGGGATTGGTCAATCCCTCCTTGTCTAGTCTCCCATTAGATAGAGATGGCTGAACTGGCAAAAGCCAGAGAAAGCCGAAGGATGGTGAACGCTCACTCTACCTCCCTTGTCCCTGCAGGTCACCGAAGTGAATTTGAACAACATGCTGTGTCCGGCCATCTCAGACCCATTCTACGGCCCCTGGTATCGCATCTGGGCCTCGGGACACCAGACTCTCATGACCATGACCCACGGGAAGCTGGTCATCCTGTTCTCATACATGGCTGGGCCCTTGTGTAAATATCTGCTGGATTTGCTCCGGCTTCCAGCCAAGAAAATAGACTGAAGGTGCTTTTTTTTTTTCTCCCTCCCCGAGGAAGCAGGTCCTGACTTGACTTGGAGAACACCCAGTTCTTGATGAAATCAAGGGAGAGGACAGTAGATGTTTGGTGTATTTCTTTTCCCCCTCTCTGTCTTTTTCTTCCACCATTCTTCCTTCCTCAGCTTCTCCCCTCAGGATATCTTATTGTGCCTGGGGTGTGGTGCTGGGGGCAAGATCTTTCTTCCTTTCCTCCCTTGACTCTGTCTCCCCTACTCCTAGTGGCCTTATCTGGGGAGATGGTAGTCAGTGGCCCTCTTGCTCTGCTTGTTGGTGCTTTAACAATAGCTGGTTGAGGAGACAGGGAACAACAAGCAGTAGTTCTGCCTGTGTCACAGCAATGAAATTGGGTTGTGTTTCATTTCTCCACTGCCAGGGACCTCCATGCTCATGCTGGGATCCCCTATCGTCTCCAGCACAGCCCCCACTGTAAGGGGACTTGAAGCCTTGTTCTCTACCAGCAGCAAGACCAGGGGATTTCCCTCTCAAGGCCGAAATAGAACCGGCCACATTCTTCCCACTAGTGTCCTGACCTAAATTAGGGAGCCACCCAGCCACTCCTTCCAGGATGCTGCCTGGGGTGGGAGGTGAGAGCACCACTCCAGTCTAAGGGCAAGATTCCATTGAGCAGGGTTGGAGAACTGTTGTAGTGGTGAATCTAAAGGGAAGAGGGTGAAAATGTACATAGTATCAAGCAGTACCTGTGCAAACTGCCAAGGGTTCTCGGATGTAATCTACATCTCTATTAGTAGTGTGCATATAAAGTAAGAACTAATCAATGAAAGTGGTAACTTGAGAAACCTGTCATTGGAACCATGCTCCGTGTTCATGTTGATAATAGATCCCATTCTAAACTGCAGTGCTCCTTTAGCATGTTCTCCTTTGCCTTGCTGTGTCTATGCCTAAGGCAGCTTCAAAGAAGAATGACCGTCACAGAATTTGAGATTGTTTTCCTCTACTTTTTCATTTGTCTTTGGATGTTTGAATTGGGAAAACCCTTGCAACAGCCCATTTCTGGAAGTTCCTGGAGATCCCATTTCTGGGGTTTACAGCGTACCGATGAATCCTGGTTTGGGAAGGTACAGCTCCAGCCAGCATTGTTTCTCCGGGGCTAGCTTTCTTCAATATACTCAGATTCCGTGCTGAATTGCATAACATGGTGGGAAGGCATCACATGCTTCCCACCCTCCCTGTCTTCAGAGCCTAGTTTGAAAGGGAGCTGCCAAGGGATCAGGTCCCCAAAGGTGGAGATTCAAGTGCTCCAGAAGGTTGAGCTTTCATTGAAAGAGGTGTACTCAGTCATGCATGAACCTCAAGACGGGAGGCAATAGCTGGAGGTTTTCTGACTCTGTTAACTCCTACTAGGATCAGATTTGCTACAAAGCAGAAATGCTCAGCCTGACTTCCTCTAATGAGCCTCCTCTGCCCTCTGCCACTCTAGATAACTCCTTTGCCCTGAGCCAGTACCAGTATTTCAGGCGTGTCCATATTAGACACAGATTGAACTCCAGTGCCTCGGTGGTCATGATCTTGGAGGTAGCAGCATGTAGGAACATTTCTCTGAGTACTTGGAGACCTGAGGAAGCAGCCCTGGGAGGGACTGCGCTTTGACAGAGGTCTGCTGGTATTGAGGTGGTCCATGGTGGGCACAGGGAGCCATAGAGGAGAGCCTTTGCTCCCCTGGAGCTCCTTGTAACATATAACCGCGGTTTTCTGCTTTCCTTGAGGGCTGGGCCAAATTTTATAGTGTCTCTCACCGCAGGGTTGCCCTCCAGTGGAAGCATCTCTTGAGGGGTTGGTTCACCCTGCTGTGTGTCAAGCTACTTCATGTAGGAGTGGCTGGTGAGGGAATGTGCAAGGCCTCAGTGCCCCTTGGTGTCTTAACAAGGAGAAAGGGTGGAAAGGTGTCATGCGAAGAGCTTCCAGGTACCTGGCCTGGCTATTACTAGAACATAGAACTGCTACAGGCAGAGCATCTCTGCCTTAGCTGGGACCAGCTGCAGAATACCACAGTGGTGTGACTGTAGGTACTTCTTTCCTTTCTGTCTCTGTGACATGGCACAGATTGCAATCATTTCGGGCTTTCCCTGCATTGGCATGCCTCCAAAAGCTCATCTCTGCCCTGGCTACCACTCAGCACTTCATTCTGGCAGGCATTTTCTGGTGCTTGGAAGGAAAGAAGAAAGTGAAAGCCATGAATGAGCCTGGTATGGCCCAGCAAGAGACAGATACACCTGTCAGGGAAAGACGGGAGTGGAGGGAAGATATAGGGGTCCAATTTGGCTCACAAACATGGGGGTCAAATGAATAGCTAGCAGGAACCTTTCATAGGTTCCACAAGGAACTCTGGCTTATATTTGGGGATTTGGGGATTTGGGGATTGGCAGGCATCTGAATCAGCCTCACACTTTCCCTCTCCCTCTCCCTCTCCCACCTTATCCAAGCCCACAAGGTGACAGGTAATCTGGCCACATTCATACATGGCAGCCTCTCTTGAGGGTGGTCCTCATATCTGTCCAACCTCCAGCCTGCCGCTGGCCCTAGTACTGGACCAAGGAAAAAGCTGCAGTTTGCACACCCAAGGACCAGTGGGCCCTGGCTTCCCAATTTCTCCTGAAGGCTTTCCTGTTAGTTGAAGAGACCACCCTGGCCAAATTTCCATCTGACATCTGCCAGTTTATGGGAGCTCTATGCATTTGTGAGAGAGTCCCTGGAGTGGCCAGTTTCCTTTCAGAAAGCTCCAGGAAGGAAAAGAAGCACTCCTTCAAGCCCCAGTTAGCTATGATCAAGGGTCTAAGCCAATGAGAACAGTCTGTTGAGCTGGCGTATTTGTAGCATCCACTCTCAATAGCACAGTGCAAAGGTCCTCCTAACTCTCAGTATTTGGTTTTGTATACCAAAGAAGATCAGGCACAACTTCCTCTCAGAGGCACGGTGACATATTCCTCTGTCAGCCTGTGAGGGGACGACGGGGTTCCAAAGTCTCAAATTCCATCTCCCTAAGTTGATATGCTCTCTTTCTCCATGCATCTCTTAGTATTCAGAGAAGCTATTTGCAGGGTCATTGGGCTCAGCGGGCAGTTGGCACACTGTACTATACAGTACCTCAGCCCGGCTGTCAGATCATCCTTTTTGCTATAGCCTCCATCAGCATTTTCATATGTGTGATCATTGATGAATCAGTGTTTCCGGACGTGGGCACAGCTTCCCACAAATAACATGTTGTCAGCAGGTCTCCAAGATCTGCAGTTGGGGCCAGGCCATGCCCTGGACATGAGCAGGGTGTTCAGGGGTGAGCAGAAGGGCCTTTCTCCCTTCCTCTATCACAAAGACTTCCTGGATTTGGGGACATTGGCCCAGAATCATTTGTTCTTTTCAGAAGAAGAGTTTCCTAATGGTTTCTTCTGAAGGAGAGATGGTAGAGGAGAAACAAGGACCATTTGTGACACTAAGACAAGACACTGGGGTTGGTTTTAGTTTACCAGGAGCAGGTACATGTGAGGGATATCTACAGGCTGTTTGGGCTCCTTTGTTAGGCCCAGATTAGGCAGGGGCCTTCTGTGCTGCCACTGCCTTCTGTGCCCTGGAGGACCCCCAAAAGGCTGCTGGACTCTCAGTGCAGCTTTGCCCTGGGAGCAGAGTGGCCACACACCCTTGAATTTCCTAGATGGGCTGTCAGCAAGCGGGAGTAATCCTTCCTCATGTGTAAATACAGGGAGCTGATATGTGCTCAGAAAAACCCAGTTGCTTGCTGTTGTCCTTATCTGTGGCATTTTTGCATATTGGTTTGCTGCTTGGCACTAAGCAGATAACAACTCCAGAAAAACAAGTCTCTTCAAGCAAAGGTGTTTTGGAAATTCTTGCTTTTTTTTTCTGATGTCAATGTTGTGTTCTATTTTAAATCCTTCTTTTATATTGATGTTATTATAGTGAAGAGAAAGCGATAGGCTGATGTGTAATTATTTCTACCAGGACATTGGCAAATGCCGCTGCCTCTCTTATCTGCCCCCATCCCTCTTTATTTCCAAGCTAGGATTGCTATGCACTGGGCTGACCCCTTGCTTCCCCTTCTCCCTGCCCCACACAGTGGCTCCCTTCAGAACCAGTCTTTCTAATGCCTCTAATCGGCAGGGTGAACCGCTTTGTCAGGCTGGTTCTTGGGTGCTCTGTGCATCCTCCTACAGTTTTGCTCACCTCTTGGGGTGTTTTGTAATTTGTTTTCTCTGTTTTGTAAAACCTTTGATTGTACTGAAATGATTTCTGCAGTCACCTTCGGAAATAAATGGTCCTTAATTTGTGTACTCGGCGTTCTGAATCTTAGTCTCAGGTGTTTCTGTTGTTGAAGATCCCGGGATGAATAGGAACCTCACCGTGGGATTTATTGTTACAATGTTTTCTTCATTTTTTGTTATTAAAAGATTTATGAGAACCCAAGAGTCTGGGCTTCCCAGAACCCTCTCAGAAGGCTCTCTACTTTGAAAAATAGACAAAAGGGGTTGTTTTGTTAGCCTTGCATGTACTCACTGGAGGACCCCCAATGGGCACTAGGCTCTCAGTACAGCTTTGCCTTGGGAGCATTGTGTTTGCACAGCCTTGAGTTCCCACACACTGCCTACTTCTGCCAAGGTTAACTCTGACCCAGCATTTCCTCTTTGTGGGCTTTGTCTACTAGGGACATTTTCTGGGCTCTCTGGGCCCTACTGTGCAAGGGAGCAGGCTGGATGACTTGTCTAGAAAGGAGCTTTGTGAACAAACACTTCACATACAAGCTTGCTCTACCCAAGTGTCCTTTGTGCCCAGCAGGGGTCAGACTGTTCTCTGGGGAGGAGTGAGCAAGATAAACCTGCCCTTCGTGAATGAGGCATGCTTCTCCAAGGCGACCCTCTGGTACTACTGCCTTCATACCACACAGATGTCCTGCTCCATCTTTGCCAGTGCTGTTGCTTCTGGAAGGCACACAGCCAGAGCTGCAGGTAGTACAGGCAGATCACCACATTTGCCAGGATTTAGGCACCCAAGATTTGAGTGAGGCAGTGCCCCGCAATCCTTGACTAGAAAACTACCAGCTTGGGAAATTCCTTTATTTTCTTGTTGCCCGCCTTCTCCATCTGCAAAGCAATAGCAGCAACTGTGTGCCAGGCATAGTGCTAAGTCCCTGTCTACAGGTTACCTCTGATGGTCACTGACCCTAGAGCTTCCTCAGTGGGACACTGAGGTCTTGGGCCCTGCAAACATCTTCAGCCTCATTGCCTCCCTCTCATACTCTCAAAAGAACCATGCATAGATCCCCTTTGCTCCAGCCGTATTGCACCGCACTGTCACACCATGCCATTTCTTTTTCCCTTGCTTTGCACTGTCTACCCCTTTATCTTATGGGCTCAGCTCCAGCGTTAGCCCCTTTGTACAGTCCTACCTGCCTCCCAAGAATGCACTGGGTGCCTCTCCACTCTGTTCCTACAGCATCTAGTGCTTATTCCAGGGACCAGTTGCTTTCCTCTTAGGTAATTCACTTGTCTCTCCCTCTTAGACTTTTGCTTCCTTAAGGGAAGGGTGGGATCTGACTTTTCCTCCAGTTTCACCACAAGATTCATTCCATAGGTGGTACTAGGGTGATGGGCTAAACATATAGTATGTTTAGCATAAGTGAAGTCCTATGTTCAATCCTCTTCACAAGAAGTTACTCTGCGAACAAGGATCTCATCCCGAATCGCTGAGAAATGGTAGGAGATTCCATTGTTACCTGAGGGAGAACCCTTGGTGACATAAGCCATTGCCCTTCCCATGAGTTCTTTTGGCTGCAGCCAGGGTGCTGTTATTTGCCTAGGAACCTCTAGCTCCTCAGAGAGAGCCCGACCCTGCCTCCCTGTAGGGCTCTATGTAAGTGTTACCCTGAACAAGGAGGTGATCTTGTGAGGGAAGAGCAATGAGAACAAGTGTTCCAACTGATCCTTCCTCAGATCTATGGCCAGTGTAGGTGAACGAGGTGTCCATTTGCTTTTCCATAACCTGTTTATTGCCACATGGATCATCTCATTCCTTTCCTAGGACACATACAGTTGGCATTTCTATGGCAAAAGCCCTACCAGTCAACCCATAGAATATACCACCTGTCTCTCTGTAGGGTAGTGAGCAGCTTGGAATGGTTGCACTCTGATCCTCCAGTGAGTTTTTCCTTTTCATGTTTTGCCAAGACCAGTGAAGCAACAGTGATACGACAGTGGTACACAGATGTCAGTCTGGCAAATGCAATGGTTTAACCGAAGGATATGTGGTTTGTGAACCTTGGCAACACGCAAGACTGGCCTCATTCAAAGTCAAGGTCTCTATTATTACCTGCACTGCCTGTCCACAGTCAGCATTCTGCACAGCAACAAGATAATATACCTCAGACGTTTGAGCTGTTGGGTGCAGACTTCCAGGCCTCTGGAGAGATTGTTCAAGTTGCTAATGAGTATCCTCCACAGCTGGCTTCCTGACTTCAGTTCTGCAACTAGTGCATGGCAGCCATCCCATACCCTCAGTATCTCATAAGGCAGGTCTCAGTGATGAGGGAGGTCATTTTCTTCACATATCTTAACTGGATAACATGAGTCACTGATCTCTTTTACTTTCCAATGACCCAGTCCCAGCCACCAGCAGGTTTTGCTGCTGGCTTCTGCCCTCCACTCTCCATCCCAGGGGCTTGTAGAGGTGGCACCAGTCTGCTTTCACTGTGCCTTGAGCTCCTCCTTCCCTCCTACCCAGAAGCACCACACTCTTTGCTATCGCACATTTAGAAAGACTCTAGGCTAACATTCTGCTCTTTGAGAACAGAGAGGCCTTCCCAGGTAGTCCAACTCCTGCCCTTGCATTGCCAAGCATGCCAGATACCATTGTCCAGGACAAAATACCTCTGGTAAAGTGGCTCGCACATTTTGTGACATATTAGTCACCTGGGGATCTTTAAAAATCTCAATGTCCAAACTCATAATTTAATACAAATGTTTTTATCTTGCTATTTACTTTAAACTTCCAAGTTCTGAGTCACCTCTTTAGCCCGCCATCTATCCACACCAGTGCCTTTTTCTAAAATGAAAACTTTAAGACATATCAAAAACTATGAACAATAGCTAAATCTAACTTTTAAAAAAAGGACATTACCAATATAATTGAAGCCCCGTATAGATTGTTCTTCAGCACCTCAGTGATTCTGCGAAAGTGCCTTAGAGGGGGCCCCCCCTTAGGGATGAAAGAGGGTGGGGGCCAAGTGGGTGGCCCTCTGGCCTTTCCCTTTGCCTCACATAGAACTCCAATCTTACCATGTTTTGTACATTGAGATTTTGTGAATAACTTCATCAAGAAAAAGGTTTAAAAGCCACTCTTTCATCTCCTTACTAGTTGTATCTCTACCCCTCTCTTCAATAGTGGCCATCCTGTAGAAGTCGGAGAAGCACTTTAGAAATTCTGCAGATAGGAACTACCATCCCACTTTCCTTGTCCTTAGTCCCAGTGACCTTGGCAAAGTCAAAACCTGCCTGACCCCATTTGTAAAGTAGGTAATAAGTGCCCTTGTCCTGTCTACCCCACAGGGCAGTAGAGAGGAACCCAGTGAGGTAACAGTGTGTGAGAGGGCTTTACAAACCATAACATCAGTCTAGTGTGAAGAGTCCCTATTTCAAGACAGCATGCTTCTCAAGCTGGTTCTCAGAGCACAGAGATTAGCTGGAGTTTTGACCACACTCACCCACTGTGCCATAATTTGCCCTATGCCATTGTGGTCTGCAGTGTGTGTGTGTGTGTGTGTGTGTGTGTGTGTGTGTGTGTGTATGTGTGTAGGAGAGATGATTTCTCCATTTTAAGGATATTTTTCTGTTTCATTGGCTCTAAAACCCATCCTTTTTTTTTTTGTATTTTAACATCTCTAAAATTGCAATGTACCTTACATATAATCAGCAACTTTTGTCTCTTTCAACAGTGTATAAAATAATAGACTTGTTGTCTCTTAGATCAGATGCTTTGTGGGACATGATAGGGGAGGATACAGAGTGCTGTGCCAAATGACAGGGAGCAACACGAGCCAGGCCAAGTGAGCCCCAATAACAGCTCTGATTTTTTCATTTCCCAACCATATCCTGGCCAGACAGCTTAGTCTTCTTGCTTGTGAACTCTTAGGGCTTGTCACTGCCATAAGTGAAGTGAGCTGGTGGGATTCTGGGGACAGCAGAGGCAGAGGTCAATCTGTCTAGAAACTGGCGTTTGGTGTGAGTTGCTATCTGGCCCACACAGAGGAAGACAATGATTTCCTCTCCTCCTTGAACAAGGTAGAGGAGGGATAGTGGGTCTTTCAAGGAAATTCAGTCCTTTTGCCTAGGGTAGCCTGAGGTGTGAGTATTTAACTCCAGTTGGAAATTGCTACGAGCCCCCATTTAGTCCAGGCAGACACTCAAATGAAACTTGACCCTTGTAACCTTTAAACTACACTTCCAGAAGGGAAAAGTAGTGTCTCCAGTGTGATCCAGGAACACTTGTGCACAAGAAGCCGTTTTGGGCATTTTCCCCCTAGAGAGCTTAGTAGACGTGATCAGCCTGGATTACAGCTGCCCTCACGTTAACTGGGTTAAAGTGTTGGCCTATTTTGGCCCCCTCCTGTGGTGGCCTCCTTCAAAACTGATGAGGCTGATTAGGGGGCTATTTCTGAGCCCTGGTCACCGACCCAGATGCCTAGGGTCTGTCCTTCCCTGACTAGAAAGACATTAACTATGGCTGGATGGCCGAGGGTCATCCCTTCTGCCCACAGAAGAGCACTGATGTCAGACCTCAAGTACCCTTGTGAAAGAAACAGCCAAGTAATGTCAAGAGCAGCTCCTTGGTTTTCAAAAATCAAACCAAGCAATCTGTTTTTAAGAAAGTGCCTATTCCTATATCTTCAATCCTCAAGAGAAATGGTGGAATGTTAAAAGGAAGCTTTCAGTGATAGTCACCAGCCTCCTTTCAGCATATTCTGTGCATTTGAGGGAAATTATTGTTTAACCTCTGAGGCTCACTTTGCTCATCTATAAGATGCAATCATATTAGTATCTATTTCATAGGGAATAGAAAAAGTACATAAGTGCCTTGACACAGTGCCTAGAAGCATACTATAAGCATTGTTTCCATAAATGTTAGGCACAACCGCTGCCATTCCCACTACCATAACTACCGTCATCCTTTTCAAGACAAAGAGTGAATAGTAAAGAGCTCAGTCTGAAAAAATTAGTTTGAATCCTTTGCCACTTTGTAGCTAGGTGGCTTTGGATAAATAAAAACTTCTTTGAACCTCATTCTTATTCTGTAATGAGAAATTCATAAGGCTAGTCAAAGAATTTAACAGGCTTCTTAGCTCACAGTAAGCAATTCAATAAATGTAGGTATTTATAATTATTAAAAAGATATGATCAAAATCAGTGGTTGCCAGGTGTCAGGGGAAGGGAGGGATGAGTCAGGTAAGCACTGGATTATCAAAATCCATAGAATGTACAATACCAAGAGTAAACCCTAATGTAAAGTATGGGCTTTGAATGGTATTAATGTGACGCTTTAGGTTCATCAGTTGGGGCAAAGGTATCACTCTGGTGTGGAATGCTGATAGCAGGGCAAATTGTGTGTGGGAATGGAGGGGGCATGTGGGAACTGTATTTCCTGTTCAATTTTGCTGTGAACCTAAAACTGCTCTAAAAAAATAGTCTGTTTCAGAGGAAAAGGGGGAAAAGGGGTGACTAAACTAGATTGTTATAAATGTAGGGTTATAACTGTATTCTTCACAATGATCACTAAGGAAATAAAATATAGAGAAGAGGAAATGAAGGGATAAAAATGGTGTACTACATAAAGTATATCAAACCAAGAATAAGGCAGTATTCGAGGAATTGAGAAACAAAAAAGGTCTAAGGTATAGAACACAAGTAGCACAAAGACACAAGTAAGTCCTTAATTATTAGTAATCCCTTTAAATATGAGTGAATTTAACTCATCAATTAAAAGACAAGGTATTGGCAGAATGATTCAAAAATAATCCAACTAATATGCTGCTTAGAGTTACTCACTTTAGACCCAAGTCATGAATAGGTTTTAAAACATAATATTTTAAAAGAATCAATGATTCATCAATATCCCCCCCAAAAAACAAATAACAATGGCTCAAAGAAAAAATCAGTAGGAGAATCTGAAAACACTTTAAGGTGAATGAAAAAAAAATAAACATACCAAGGTATGTAGGATGATGTGAAAGCAGTGGTCAGAGGGAAATTTATAACTTGAACTGTCTACGTTAAAAAAGAGTGATCTGAAATCAATACCCTAAATTTACATCTAAGGGACAAGGAAAAAAAAGCAAACTAAATTCTGGTAAAGGAAAAATAAGATCACAGTAGAGATGGATCAAATAGATTGTAGGAAAACAGAATCAATGAAACCAATAGAGTGGTACCTTTGGTTCATGAACTAGATTCTCTCCATGATTCTAGTTG